ATTATGTATTTTGTGTTATTTAAATAAACTGAAAAATTTATCAGTTATGCAATCTGCACATAGTATATAGAGTATAAATATATTTTTTGTTGCTTTATTGTTATTGTTGTTTAGTAATTTTTGTTTTTCGTGCACAGTTTTGTGTATTTCCCTTTCGTATACTCGCTGTTTATGAATGTATGTGCACATGTGTTATGTTTCTATTTTTCTTTTTTGATGCATTTTTTATTTTCTTTTGAGCTTTTTATTTCTTTCATATTATCTTTTTCCATTTTTTTAAATTAAATTGCTTTTATTTTTAAGTATTTCCTTTAAGTAGATGAATAAAACTAAAAGAAAAAAAAAAACAAAACAAAATAAAAAAATGAGCAGCAGAGAAAGAAAATTTACGTGTGATGCTGGTGTAGACAGAAATATATTCACATATGCATACCACAATTTTTTTAAAGAAGTTCAATTTATAATAATAAAAAGAAAAAACAAAATATAAAAAGGAATAGAAATTGTAAAATAACAACGAAATTGCTAATTAGGATAACTAAATTTCCTGTGCAGAAACACTCAATTCAGAAAAAAGAAAATTAAAACAATTTAAAAAAATCATTTTTACCGTTTCTACTACTTCGCTATTGTTGTGGATGTTGCAGGTTTTGTGAAGGATTTAATAATACTGTCATGAAAATTTTTAACGATTTATAAAAGGTGAGCATTTTCGTTTAGAAATATTACAAAAATGGATATTAAAATATTAAAAGAATTTAAAAAGGTTAATCAAAATAAAAGATATACAGTTAAAAAAGATTCATAAAAATTTGTAACAAAAAAGAAGAAAAGTACCTAACTCATATCACTTTCTTTTTTTTATTTTGCCATTCATATTTCTTTTTTTTAATTTATGTTTTTAATATTAAGTATTAGGCATTTTTATAAACACAATTCTGCAAAACAATAATATGCTACCTACGCAATATATTTTTTACAGTTGTATAAAAACTTTTGCCATTTTGAATTTGTAATGTTGTGTTCATATAGTACAAATAGTACAAAATTCAATTTCAGAAAATATAAAAATTAAGAAAATTTTATTGAAATTACTTTATTAAATTGGCTACTTGGTGCAGAGGTTTTATTCTAATTACAACCTTAGAGTTAATAATATGAATATGACAATTGTTCCAAGAGCTAGACTATCTCATTTTTCACATTTTTATATATTACTTGCTCCCAAATTATTTAATTTGTTGCCAGTAGATCTCAGGAGTGTTCGAATTTTATCCGTTTTTGTGAAGTCTCTTAAAAAATGGTTATTTGGTTTCGACCATAACGATATTGAATTTTTATTGAATAATAGATTAATTTGATGCATATTCCAAAATTTCTATATAGCTTTAAATTTATAAATTTATATGTGATTTTTAATAAATTATACATGTTTGTTATATAACGTAAGTTTTGAATTGAATTAACATGAATTTTATAAATTGAATTCAGATTATTAAATTTTAAGAATTTATTCACTATTATGTAATTTTTACTTATATTTGTTTTTATAAATATTTGAATTTTTTGTTATTTCTTTTTTGTTAAATATAACTTGAATTCTGCTTAGCTTTAATTGTGATCCCCACCACAAACGAATTTTTGTAATAATTTAAAATTTTTTCTGATATAATGGCCCTTCGTTACTTGCCCTTATAGTGGCAATAGTTGGGACCATCCTTATTTTTTATTTTTAAGTAATTTTTTATACATATTAAATTGTAACTATTTTTAGTTTTGAATTTTGTAACTTTAAAATAAGGAAAATAAATAAATAATAATAATAATAATAAAATAATTATGTTTTCTTACCTTAATTAACTTTCAATCTGATCAGAGTCAGACATTTTAAAAATGTAAAATAAAATTGCAAAAACTAGTAAAAAAAGTACAGCTGATTTAACTGAGATACTCGTAGCCATGATAGTGTAAATATTTTTGCGATATTGTTAGTAATATTTATGAATAAACTTGATTAGCAACATTTGTTTGTGAACATAAATAAAGCGCAGTTTTCACTATATATCGCAATATACTGTGCTTATGAAAAGGCCTATTATTTCTGGTTTTTTGTATATTTTGTAATTTCTTATTTAAATTTAATTATTTACACCTGAAAATTTTTGCTTTCTTTGGCTAAAATTTTTATAGTTTGTCGAGACTTGAATTTTTTTTCTAAAATATTCTTTAACATTACATAGGTATTTGTTTTCTGAATTATAAATGAAATTATTATTATTTTAAATAAGAAAATCGATTAAAGATCAAAAAATTTTATTTAAAAAACAAAATAATGCAAGTTTGATAGGTTAACGAGATTAAATTATTTGATATCTTTACAAAAACTGTTAAATGCATAAACTTATCAAAAATAAAGTTGAGTCAAACCAATGGTTTGTATTGTAGCACTTTTCCCTTCAACAAGTGAAAATTCTGCTTTTAAATACAGTCTATGTATACCTATCACACTATTAAAATTATTTTCATTCATATACAAAACTATTTCTAGGATTGCATATATTTAGGATGAACGATTTATGCAGTTAATATAAAGTAGGGTTACATAATGCTCGATTTTAAGGTTTAATTGTGTGAGTTAAGAAAAATAATTATATTTTTTAATTTCATGGAATTTACTGTTAGCTTTTCGTGTTTATAGAAATTTGAAAAAGCTTGTGGTTTCGGAAATATAAAGTGTCAAAAATTCAAATTTTACAAATTTCAAGAGGTGATAACTTTAGAGAGGGTGGAGATGGAAAAAAATTTTCTTCAAACGAAATTAACTATTCGTTAATGTCTAAAAGCCCCTTAAATTTTAGGCTTCTACAGGCTGGGATGTAGAATAAAAACCAAATCAAAAATTTGGAAAAAAAAGACTTTAGATAAAGGTAAATTTGAACGGCCATTTTGTTTTTCTAAAGTTTAACTATAGTATACCGCGCTAGGGAAAGCAAGCCGCTGCCTTTCTGCGTTTACAAAATTTCAAAAATGCTTATGGTTTCATTGCAACAAATAGTTACAAAAGGCCATTTTTAGGGTTTTGGGAATGTATAACTTCTAGAGGGGGGGGAGATAGGTAAAAATTTTGTTCTACGGAAATAATTTTCTAGTAAATATCTATGTACATACAAAATTTCAGCTTTCTATCTTTAAGGATGTAGAAGTTTTGTAAACAGACACACGGACAGACGGACGGAAGGACGGACGGACGGACAGAGTGAAACTAATAAGCACTTTTTTTCAAATTTTTTTTGGAAAAGTGCTAATAAAAGCATACGTCATTGACTTAACATGAAAATTGAATTAAGCTATTTAAAAAATTTATTTAACTATTTCAACATATAAATTTAGCAAAATGTAAAATATTCTTCTAAATATTCGAGAGGATATTTTGTCCTTTATTATTTTCGCAATTATTTTTTATAACACATAAATATATTTTTTGATTATAAAATTAATTTGTTGTATAAGGTTTAATTTGTAATTTATACATTGTCGATTTAGAATAATTTTTTATTGCTTTTATTTATAATTTGAGTCAATTGTACTTATAAATTTTACTTAATTATATCATTATTGTATTGTATCAATATAAATACATATAAGATAATTTCCTGTACATATGTTTATGTACATATTTAAAATCAAATTTAACATTTTTTTTATTCCCAACACGATTTATAAAATATAAAACAAAGTTTTTTCCAATTGTTGAAAAAATTTTCATGATTTCGTAGTGCAATTATTATTATAAAAAAGCCATAAATATAGTTATAGAGTACTATAATAAATTTTTTTTATAGTACATTTAAATTTTAAGTTAATTTTTTAACTTCCTTTTCGACACTTTTATCAAACACCTGAAACGCCCCAATAACAAATAAGTAAACTTAACATAAAAACTCCCACGAAAGTATGTTTAAAAATCAGTTAAGTGATAATAAAGTGTTGTTATCTAATATAAGAAGGAAGGAAATAGGAAAATATTAAGGAAATACAAATTTGTTTATTTTTTTTGTTTTTTTCTTTTTTGTTTTTGCTTATAGTACACGCAACGTACGTCATCAATACTTTAAAATATTTATGTAAACATTACATGTACCTGCCGTCTACAAAATATTGTACACATACATACGTATACCTATGGATAAGTGATTTATTGTAATACTAAGTAATTTTTTTATGATAATTTGAATACATTTAGTGCGACCAATGTGACTTACACAATCAAATTATGAACAAATCATTTTTTATTTCAATATCTTTTGAAATTTCATTTTGCGAAATTTTCTTAGATTTTTCGTAAAAAACCAAAAAATAAGAAAAAGAAAATACAAAATTGGTTTTTAAAAAATTAAATGTTAAAAAATCAATTTTCTGTCATTATTTTGTATATAAAAATAAATCAAAAACTCCTTATATCTTAAAATTAGAATTTATGCAAATTAATCAATATTTTGATATTATATTTAATGTTATATTGGCATTTGAAATATTAAATATCAGAACTTGAATATACTTTATATTTAATATTTTGAAGTATTGACAATATGAATGAAAAAATTAACAATTGTACGTTTTTAACGAATTTGTACTAAAATCAGAAAAATTTTATTGCCTTATATGTAACCTATAAGGATTAAACTTACAATTAAAACGTTAAAGTATTTACTATAGATTGAATGTATAATTAAAAAGTCTTCAACAAACTATTTTCAATTACTATTTTGGTTGGAAAAAAAAGTGTTTTGGCAGAAGGTCAATCAAATTATGTAATCTAAACTTTTCAAAAAGGGTAAAAGGTTGGAGATATTTTGTAAGTATACCATAATATGTTCAATGAAAAAAAACAAATTCTGCAGTTTATGTACTACTTAGTTAGGCGTATAATAATAATAATAATATTTAAATTAATGTTATAATTTTTGTTATAAAGATAATTTCAATTTAATAGTACTTACCGAAAATTTGAAAACCATTTCACTAGTTGAGCCGTATTATTTTTATTAAATTTAATATCAGGAAAGTACATTTTAAGAACTGCCGAACTAGGATATCGTACCCAAAAGAACATTAATTTTGCTTTCCTCAGATGCATCGGCGTTAATGTTGATGAGTGCAGGGGTGTTAAAGACTCGTTACTGCAAATATATTTTTATTTAAACAATAGAAAAGAAATAAAAAACATGGAAATCAGAGTATATTATTAATTGTTTTATTTTATTAATGTTATCAGTTTGTATATACAGAGTATATATGCGAAATATTCCATTTCAATGGCAAAATATTTCCTCAAATTACAATTTTTTATTTAATATCTTTATGAATTTTGAATTTTAAAAGCAAAAAGAATTAGCTTTTGCCTATATACATACATTTATACTATCGTAAATTAAGAAATTTATCTAAATGAAAATTCAACAGGAACGTCAGTACTTTGTATATTATAAATGAAGTCCAAGTATGTATAATTAAGTTATTATTAAATTATAAGAAAAATAATAAAAAAAATCCACGTAAAAGTGTAACCAACTTTAAAACACTTTTTTGGTTTCTATCAGAATTTTATTTTATAAAAATACTTTCATAAGAAATCAAAGCATGAGGGGGAAACATTACAAGTTAGCATTTAATTTTTTTCAATTTTTTTTTGGATTTTAAAATAAGAAATATTTACTAGTTCATTTTATTGTAAGAGCTTAAATATTTTGTAATGTGTTTTTGATATTTTTTTTTTTTCAAATTCAAGACACTGACGGGATTTTAATTCAATTTTCTTTTTAATTATTTTGTTGAACATTAAATTTTGTTTATATATATACATGTGTATATTTATGTGTATATTTTTTTGTATGTATTTTTGTTTGAGGATTTTGATTTTCTTTCAATGCATCTATATTTTAATGAAGTAAAGATAAACGTGCAATTTAATCTGTCTGTATTAGACTTTTAATTTGTTATTTAATCGATATAAGAAAATTGAAATAATCAGCAATAAGAACAAAAAGTCGATATAAAATTACGAAGTTATGAGTATTATAAAATTCAATATGATGCGAATATATGTAAGTATGTATATGATACAAACCGATATGAGTTAAAATAATATCTGAGAAAATAAAGATAGAAAGAACATACTTGAAATATTTTCGTTTGGAAAAAGAAATTGTAGGTTGAATTCCATCAAATGATATGTCTCCAGAATTACAATCTGAATTACGGTCACTTGTTTCCATTGAACCTCGTAAATGACCATAATCAGGCGAATTTCCATGATGCGCTGCAGCCAAAAGCGCTGGGTGTAGCATTGTTTGTGGATGAGGTAATGGTGGTGAATCTCTAGTTTCCATCATATTGCTTAAACCAGGCGGACTCGATGACATTTTCATTTCCATTTTCATATGATGTAATTGTGATGGTTGCGGAGGTCCGGGGGGTCCACCATGTGGTCCATGTGGTCCATGTGGGTTAAAAAATGGACTGTACGGCGAAAATACCTGCGATTCATGCAATGAAGGATTCGGTATAGCAACTGATGTCGGCAGCGAAACTGGTATCATAGGCTGTTGCGTTGGTGGCGGTGGATAGTTCGATCTAGGTGAAGGACTTTCCGATGGCGTAGTTGGTGTAGGTCCATTCGATGCAGGTGGTGTTGTAAACTTTGTTTGGTTAAGATTACTATTATTATTGTTATTATTATTGCTAATATTTGTCCCTGGCTGTTGCTGTTGCGTCGGCTGTGGCTGGGGTTGCTGTTGCTCCAATGCCTGATTCTGGTTTGGTTGTTGTGGCACAATTCCATCTTGAGCTAATATCCTGCTAACAGTGCGGGGCGTTATTCTTGTATCAGTTACTTTATGCCGTTTCTTTTTTGGTGTAACCACCAAGCTAAGCGCTTCATTTTGCTCTTGATTTTGTTCTCGGGTTTCCGGTAGACAGAAAGGATTAACTTGATTAGTTGAATGTCCACCAAGCGCACTCATTGAATTATACAAAGCTGCTGCTGCAACTGGATTTAATGTTTGAGGTGGTTTTGGTGGTTGGAACATAGCTGATGGAGCTGAAGGTCGAACATGAGGTGGTAAATTATTAACGAGTGATTCAGGGTTCGGATGGGGTCCATTAATGCCGGCATGAATGGGTAAAGCCATCCCAGACGAAAAATTGCTGGTGCCGCTCATTCGTGGGACTCCACCGTTATTATTTATATTATTGTTATTGGTATTAGTATTAGTATTATTACTGACATTTAAATTTAAATTATTACTATTAGGATTAATATTTAACATTGTGCTACCAGGATGATTAATGTTATTACTACTATTGTTAAGATGTTGATTGTTAGTAATTGAGTTATTTGGAGCATTACCTGACTGATTGGCGGACGGTATTGTTGTTGCATTAACAGTTGAGATATTACTTTTAGTTGAAGCTGTTGATCTTTCTGCAACTTTTGTTCTAGGTGATTTTCTGTCGAGAAGTTGTGAAGCCATTAAGAGATCTTTATTTAACTGTTCAGCAGCTGCGGCCGCAGCTTCTGATTGTTTTCCTATAAATCTTCTTTGATGCACAAAACGAGTTAAAATAGAATCTACTAAAGTCGAAAGTGAGGCTGTTATTTCCGATTTTAGTATGTCAGCAAGTCCTTCTAAATCTAACCCGGATATAGGCCCTACAGAACTATTTCCTGTACGTATCATACTGATTTTTTCTGAAATATCTGATTGCATTGAAGACAATTTTGGAGCCTGAGGATGTGTCATTTGCGTACTTTGGTTTACTTGAGAAATTGGAGGGTTTGCTATTCTGGCAGCTTGATCTACCAGTTGCTCCCTTTGCCTCTGTTGTTCTACCTGTTGTTGCTGTAACTGTTGTTGCAATTGTTGCTGCTGTTGTTGCTGTTGTTGAACTTCTTGTTGTTGTTGTTGCACTTGTTGCTGTTGTTGAGCTTGCTGCTGCAACTGTTGCTGTTGTTGAAGCTGTTGTTGTTGGTGTAGTTGTTGCTGTCTTTCTTGTTGTTCAACGGCTTCTTTTGCCATTCGCGCTTCTTGTTCAAGAAAGAATTTTTGTCCTAAATACATTGCTGCTGCATTACTAATTGCATGGTGATTCATATGTGTATTCGAAATTGGTAAGTCACTTGGTAAACTGTTGTGCTGCATATGCTGCAGTAAAGGATGCGATCCATTAAAAGATTGGGCTAAATTTGGAGGAGCTGTTAATGGATACTTATTGGTCATCATTTTAGTCATCATTTGCGACAGCATGTGAGGTGTAGTCGCAGAAGTTACATTATTAGTTTTAGACGTCAAATCTTTTAGTGTTATATTCGGAGGATGGGATTTTTCTATTCCTGATACTTGAGACGATGGTGAATCATCCCTTGGGTTATCTTCTTGGTCAAAACTATCACTGGCTGATTGATCATCTAATTCTTGGCATTCCGACTCTTGTTCCATTCTAGAACATAATTGCACATACTTTTGTTGCATTTCTGCCAACTGTTCCTGCATTGATCTAAGCTGAGATTTTAGAGCATTTTTTTCTACTCTTTTTTGTTGAATTTGAGGTGACTCTATTTCTTCTTCATCGTCATCAGCTAACATTAAATTATGGATATTTAAGCCTAAATTTAATCCCGCAGCAACAGCAGCATATCTTTCCATAGCACTATTGTCGTGTTGTTGAGGTTGATACAACTTCCGTTTTTTACACCCATTCACTTGGATTTGAGAATTCAATGAAGGGCTTGATCTCATACTAGACACGATGTTTTCAACTCTTGCCCTTTTCATATCTAATGGTATTTGTTGTATTTTTTCTTGATTAGCTAACAATGCTGTACTTAAAGGGTTTGCTTGTGATGTTAAATCTTTTTCTAATTCATCATCAAGCTCTTCTTTACTATCCATTATACAATCATTATCATCGGAAGCAGGTGATCCTAATGATTCTAAACCTGAACGCGTACTCATTGCCATGATTTCCTCTTCATCTAATAAATCTTCAGCCTCTTTTTTTGTAACGCATTCTACCGGTAAAGGCGATACATTCTGTTGGTCTGAATTTTGTGTAGTAAGTTTCAAATGTTCCAAATTAACAACTGATTCTAAATTTTCTTCGTTATTATTTGTCGTGTTACTGTCTTTTTTATTGTTGCTATTAATGATATTACACTTTGAATTGGTTAAAGAACTGTCTTGTTTTTTATTATTTTTGTTACCATTATTTATCACTAAAATTCCGCTATTAATTCCATTATTCGGCTCACTTTTAATAACAATATTTTCTGTTTTGCAAACATTGTTCACATTGGAGGTATTTTTTAAATTACTGTTACTACTATTGTTACTACTATTATTGTTGTCATTATTAATACTATTACTATTATTTGTTGCACTTGTATTTATATTATTATTCTTATTTAAACAGTTATTATTATCTGGTGATGATCCTTCATGATCTATTATGCTATTTATAGCACTATTTAAACCATTTTGGTTATTAATTGCTGATCTTAATTCTTGGTCTAAAGCTATTAAATCTTTTTTACCTTGCAATATATTTCTTAACATATGATGGGCTAGTTCAGCATTTTGCTGTTGATGATCACGTTGTTGTTGTTGATTTGGTGATGTTATACCATCACTATCGAGATCAATTCCTGTGCTGCTTGTTCCTCTCGCTACTGGTGAGCAATTTGTTTCAAGTAAATTTCCGCCACTACTAGCTCCATTATTGTTATTATTATTATTATTACTATTGCTGTTATTATTATTTTTATGATTATTATTATTATTGCTATTTGTATTATTATTATTATTAATATTATTATTATTATTATTATTTTTATTGTTATTATTAGTATTACTATTATTATTGTTATTATTACTTATTAAATTATTGTTATTGTTACTGTTATTATTATTGTTTAAAATTTTATTATTTGAATTTGTGTTTAAATTATTTCCATCAATATTATTTCCACTTAAATCCGTACTAGCCGCTGATTCAATTATCGCCAGCATGCTATTTTCTGAAGGCCCGGTAGCGTCTTGCGCTTGTTTTACTTGTCGACCGAATAATTCATTTAACATTTTTGCTGAACCGAAACCGTTTGGTCCAAATAAACCACCAAATTGAGATTGGGATTGAGTTAACAAAGTCCCATATAAACTACTTCCACTACTCATGAATGATGGTCGTGAACTAAAATTTGGTATCGAAGAATATGTATTTCTTGGTTCACCCGCGTCAACACGTTGTCTGTTTCGTTTTATAGACGATAATGTTTTCTTTAAAAATAACTTTTCACTATACAACCCAAAACACTCTAGGCTGTCCTCTTCTGATGACATCATAAGATGCCAGAGCGATAAAAAATATTATTCGCCCTCTGAAGCCCACTTTCGTCGTGTGAGTAGTGGGGAGATTAAAAAATCTCCCTCTTTTTCTTCAACCAATTCGTCGTGTTGTATTTTTATATTACTTATATATGGTAAAGATACTTTTAAGTTATTCTCAATTTTGTATAATAATAATAACAAAAATATTTCTCCTGCGGAATTCGCTGCTATTTCAAATGTGTGAGTAGAAGTGTTACAAATATTTCCTTCATACATCAGAATTATTTCTTTTTAAAAATATTTTTAACTCTCTTCTACCCTTAGTTTGTATTGTGTTTTTTGTTCAAATTTTTTCCTACATTATTCTGTTCTTTCTCTTTTGTATTTTCATTTTGCTGTTATTGTGTTTTTAATTTTTATTTCCAACTTCTCATTTATATTTTTCTGCATAAATATGTATAGCTATATGGTATATAATGTTTACATGTATATAGATTTAAAGGTAAACGTGTATTAATGATTTTGATACAATTCCCAATTATTATACTTATGTTTATAGCTTTAAAATTTTTCTTGTTTTTTTCGTATGCAAGTGGTAATTCTTCATATCTAAACTTTTTAGATATCGTTGATATATACACGGATAAATTTTTTTACTTTAAAATAAAATTTTATATTTGTGTTCGTTTTTTTACTTTTATTTTTTTTTTTTCTTATTTTTATGTTTTTCTTGTTCATTTCTCACATAATCTCTTTACTAACCTTTTTACTTTAGGAATTTATTTTCTCTTTCAAATTTCTTTTGGATGTACTATGCGCACACACATACGCACAGGTACATGCAAAAGAAGTTAAGGCGAGAAAAAATAAATTTTGTAGATTTTCCCCTTCTTTCGCCTTTTAATTTTAAGGCGAAAAATAATGAATATTTGTTCTTGCTTTTTTGTCGATTGCTGGTGAATTTTGGTATTTTGCGTTTGTGACAATCTTATTCTCGGAGTGGATAATTTGAATGTATTAATGTGCAGTTGCTATGTTTGAAAATGCTTGAAATGTTCTCAGTTTTAACTTTCATCAATATAATAAATATACAATATATTTTATGTACATATGCCTAGATGTTAATACGAGTATAAAAAACAATCATATTTTTCTACTTCTACCAAGTTTTTTTCTAAATTTTGTTGCTATTCCTTTTCATTCTGTTTTTCTCTTTTAGTAATTATTATTAATTTCGAATCGTTTGCGAACTTTTCAAATTTTAAATTTCTCATGATTGGTTAAATTTAAACTGTAAATATAAAAAAATAAAATAGATTAAATAATATAATAAACAATATGCTAAATTGGACATTGTAATGAAATGTTTTTACTTAAATTTTGATGCAAATGCACGTGCGTTATAAATAGGCAGTGACTTACCAAAGCATTTAGTACTACAATTAAAAAAAATTTCTTAAAATAACTTAAATTATCATCGAGAGATATAAAAACCAATGGAGTAAATGATTTTGGATTTGGAATAACATGAATGCAGAGGTTGTGTTACTTACATATGTATCTATGTGGTGCTCTTCTGCTTTTTTTAATAAATAAAAACATGTATTTTTATTATTTAATCAAAATATGTAAGTTCGATGCAGTAGGATAATTTTTCAATGGCATGTTTAAATAAAATATTTAAAATAACTAGTCATGCGTGTACAATATAAGTTAGTTAGTTGTGATAATATATTAAATTGTCGTTAGGAGGTCAGAGAAGTTGCAAAAGAGTATTTTTTTCCTCATATCCAAGCAAATTACATTATGTGGACATAAATATTGATTGGTTGGTACATAATACCAAAAATAATCTTTTCCTCATTTACTTAATGATGAAGTCTTTCAAAGATAAATCTCAAATTAGGAAATTGTAAAATAAGTGCAGAATTAAATAGTAAACTTTCCCGAACACATAGATTATAATGTATAAAAAAAGTATACACGAGTAAAACGATTTTAAAAATTTCGATAAAAACTGTGTATACATATTACAAAAGTTTGTGTTACCTTTAGCAACAACGCATACGTATTCTTTATGTCAGTATTGTCCTTTTTTCATGCATCTTTCAAGGTAAAAATAAAATTTATTGTTTATATACATATTTTTAATACTAAATCGAACAACATAAAAATCTCACAATACATTTTAGACTTTTCGTCTGAAGCAACGTTATGTTATTTCTCTTCTCTCAATATTAAAATAGTTAAACTTTTTTGAATGATAGCAATATAATTATTTCACACATGCATATTAGAATTCATCTATGATGTTTAAACAGAAAACATATTGCACCCTATACCTTTACTGTATTTTGTGCATAAGTAGGGGTAAATTATACCTTAATTCACCTTTAAGATATACAAGGTTCTAGTTAAATATAACGTAAAAATAAGCATAATGTTATGTATGTATATATGTACTTCTGAATGGTCTCTTTGTGCGTTCTGTATTTAAAGCGCTAAATTTTGAACACCTGGCTTCTACAAGTTTCTTATGTATTGAATTTTTAGATATGTGTGTGACTGCAAAAAAATAAGGAAAGATTAGTTTAATGTAGAAAAGGTAAGGTATAGAAGCTAGAAATTTTTTTTGTGGTTTGTTTTCTCTAAAGAAAAAAAGATTTTTTTTTTAAATTGTTGTTTTTTAAAGATATTATAAAACTATATTTGGGGCACTGATTTGACGTTAAATTATTACGTATTGAGTTTTAAACAGACTATCTAAAATTTTCCGTGATAAAAATGTGTCAAATAATCATTTTTAGAAAAATGCCTGTTAGCATTCATTTGTGAATCGCCGTTTCTGCTAGATGGATATGTATGTAAATTTTATGTCTAGGCTTAATTTCTATCACTGCTGAAGTTTTTTTTAAAGAAATTGCCCCTAACTTAAATTTCAACCGCGATTGATTTTATTTTTTTGATTTTGTCTTAGAAATTTAAATAACGGGTTGTCAACTCAACGGAACTGAGTGATAACCTTAAAAAAGTCTAGTTTTAGGAATTAAACCTCTACTAAGAATCAAAATTTAGAGTTTTGAGGGTATATTAAATGTTTAGAAGGAATACTTCACCTTCAATATTTGTTCTGCAAGTCTTTTAACAAAGTAATCAGAATAAAATTACTAAATGAGTAAACTTTATTACAAAAGAAAAGTAATGCGATTCTACATGAAATCTGAAAATTGGTTCTAAATAAAATCTGAAAATTTTTTAACATTGCATGACACAAGATCTTGCTTTGGCAACATTTTATATATAATGTATGTAAAAATATATTTAGTGGGATTCAAATTAATACTTATGTAAGGGTACATTAACTTCTTTTAGGTTTTTAAAAAAACTCTCAGAAATTAAACAGCAGCTTTAATATATTTTCAAACTGCTCTACAACTTCTTTACTTAGCACATTATTTTAATGTTAGTCAATGCAAGTAATTCGTCACAACTATATTAACACAAATGAAAAACTTTTCAAATAAAGTCTCTATTTTAATTTTGTGACTTTCTTATTTAAATGACATGGTTAACTCCTTTTTCAAATATGCTATTGTTTTTCATTCCGTCAGTTAAAAATTTTGAAATAAAGAATTTGTAATTTTTTATTCAAAAAACAAAAAACATTTTTTTTAGAGTAAAGGTAACTGAATTAACTAAAGATTTTAATAAAACGATAATAATAACACTTCTTTTGATAGTTTTTTGTTGTTTTCTTTCCTGTAAATTCTTTCATAGTATAGCACGCGTTAGTTCCCATATGGTTTCCGTTGCGTTATATATTTATTTTCAAGGTGCAGTGACTTTGGTAGAATTTATTATATATTGTATAAGACTATATATACTATATAGGCTTATACATTTATATAATATGTTTATATGTACATAAACAAATAACGATGCCTTCAAATTAAAAAACCAAAAAAAGAAGTAAAAAAATCCTGCGCCATATGATACTATCGCTGTACTTTTCATCTTTTCATGACTTAAGTTCCATTGAATTGTTTTTTTTTTATAAATTTGTTATTATTTTTACCTTTGCCAAGAAATAAGTTTAAGTATGAAGGGGGAACAGTTTTTAATGGAAAAGGGAACAAGTCTCAGAATTCAAACTCTATTATATAACTTTAAAATTTTCATATTTTATTTGTCTTTTGTCTTTCGTTGTGAAATATTATTTTAGGGATGACTGCATACACATATACATATAAAGGTATTATACCTACATGTGGGTATAAATATTATGTTATAACAGGGTTGTTATACATATTGTACTTTTTTAAAGTTACTGTTCAACATTTTTAAATGAAGGCTTACCTGGAACCTTAAATATAACTCTGACTTTATAAGAATATTTTCTTAAAAAATATTAATGGGGTTCAAATTATTTTAATTTACTTTTCAAACTAATGCATATAAAATAGGGGACAAAACAAAATTCTTACACAGTAAGTTTTTTTGTACCTGAACAATACTAGATTTTGTTCTATTATAACATTTTTTATTAAGTTTTTGAAAAAATTCACATCATAAGAAATTTTCAAAAGTAATATTTTCCATGCTCAATAATTCGTTATTTTAAAAATAAGAAAAAACGAGAAAAAAAATAGAGTTGACCTTGTCAACTCTGTGATACCCGTACGAATTTGTTATACTATGTGCGAATAACTAATGTGCCATAACTAACTATGGGGCAGACTATGACTTTAAGCTGCCGTATTACCATATTAGTTTATGCAAAATTTCAGTACTATGTGTTATTCAAAATACTGGTTGTGCCAAACTACTATTGATGTTGTATGGCAGCTACCAGAAAGAGCCAAGAAATTTTAGCGAATTTTATCAAGCACATCGGCCCTACTAATATACTCACTTGTGTGAAATCTCAATATCACAGCTTTTATAGTTTCTGAGATATAGTCAAATAACTTTTGAAGTTGTATGGCAGGTACCAGAAGGAGCCAAGTAATTTCAACGACTTTTATGAGACACATTGGCCCTACTAATATATTCGTTTGTGTGAAATTTCAATACCATAGCTTTAATAGTTTCTGAAATATAGTCAAATAACTTTTGAAGTTGTATGGCAGGTACCAGAAGGAGCCAAGTAATTTCAACGATTTTCATGGGATATATTGGCCCTACTAATATATTCGTTTGTGTGAAATTTCAATACCATAACTTTTATAGTTTCTGAGATATAGCCAAATAAATTTTGAAGTTGTATGGCAGCTACCCGAACCGGTACCCCGATCATGTCCAATTTAAATAGGGTTCTGGCACTTACTACAATAAATCATTTGTGAAAATTTGGTGAACTTAGCTCAATTAGTTTTTGAGTTATCGTTGGGATGGACGGACGGACGGACGGACAGACAAAGCTAAATCAACTCAGAATTTGACGCTGATCAAAAACATACACTTGAGTCTATATCTAACACCGTTATTTCTTAGCGTTACAAACAGTAAGGCAAATTTAGTATACCCTTCGAACATACGTTCGTACGGGTATAAATATAAGAAATTATGCGACTATAAGATTTTTAGCGTTTTGTATAAAAGGTGTGTTGTTTTATCTACAGCTTGTTTTTGATTCAGACATGTGCGCTATTTGCTTCGTCATTTTAAAAAAAAAAGTTATAATCTACCTCGCATCTCATGATTTGTTTGTTTCGTACGTACATATATGTACCGCATTATTTTAAAAAAAACCTGAAATTTTACAAACTTATGGTATTGAAGGAAATTGTGTTGATTATATTCATAAAACTAATGTTTTAAGGCAGTTTTGTATAGAATTATTAAACTTGAAAATTTTTATATTTAATTTTATTCATTTAAAACTTTTAAAATTAACTTTATTTCAAATGTTAAAATTTGTTTTTTTTTATACGGACTATATTTCATTGAATAAACTCTATTTTCTAGATGCTCAGCTTTTTATTTTATATCAATAAATTGAGTTATTGGTTTAATTTTATAGATTCGCTGAGACTCAAATTCACTGTAGGATTTTTATTAAATTAAACATATAAGGAATTAAAGTCATATTTTTTTCACTAAGATGTATAGAATTTATGAAGTTAACTTAAAGCTTGTTAAGCAAAGTAGTCTAAAAGTTGAAATAAAGTTCATATTAAAATTTAAAACTCAGAAATTGCATTTCTTAAAGTGTAAAATTATTATAATCTTATGTATATATGTATGTCCGAGACTTTAATATTAGTTTGCAAAAGTTTTTAAATCTAT